TGGAAAGTAAAATTTGAATTGATATGTTCAAGACCACAAGCGGATGAAACAAGGCATGGATAAACTCATGTGACACGAGCTTGCACTTGGAATAAATATGTTACTTTTTTATGTATCAACAACTTACGAATTTTCTTAAATAATCTTAATAATACTCACTGGTCAGCTATTATATTTTTATCTTGTTGCTTCAGTTAATCAAGAACAGACTGAAATACTGAGGTTGATATGACTTCTCTTGTTTTATCTAGCTGTTCTTCTAGACTTGAGTGTTCATTTATCTTTGTGTCTTGGCTGTCACATCAGTGTTAATCCTTGTAATTTTAAAGTAACTCCAAGGTATGGGGTCTTCTTTGAGCAGCAAGAACATTCTATTTGATTTCTGTATTTGCATTTTAAAATGTCCAAGTTTACCCTGTTCCAGGATTTGCCTGTGGGTAGCTGTATCATTTTAAATGCATCACACAACAAATTTAGTAAATTATTATAGATTGTTTTAATTCTAATTTTTCTGATTTGGAAAAATTAACTTACATACTCTTTTGAGATGCTTAAATAAGTCAGTAGACTTATTTTAAAATTGCTACATTTCATCCTGTTTTTTCTGTATGGTATGCTAACATAAGTATGGCTGTTGAACACAAATTTAAAAGAATACGAAGTCACATGTTTACTCATCGCTATACAAGTCATGCTTGATCCTTGCAGAAACTGTGTAAGGTATCACATGTGACAGGTGATAATACCTTAATGTGAGCTGTGACTTGCAATCCCATATACTTCCTTCTTCACTGCCCACAACTTTTCAGTCATCTCTGCACTTTATATGGCACTTAAAATTATTCATTACACCCCTAATTCTCAAAGCCTTATGTAGTTACCTTGATTAGTACAAATACAGTTCACACATAAAGGACTATGAAAATTATGTTAACATAGAGATTAGATTTTGTTTTAAGTGTTAAAATTTGAAATATATTTCATCTATGTAGAATTATAATTTTGTAGTAACATGTACTTATCATTTCTTGCAGTTCTGGAAATCTCAGACTCAATGGGAGTGTCCCTGCCTGCTGCTTACTGTAAGTCCAATAGGTTCACTGAACTTGAGGAGGTTCTCATCTCTTCAGTTCCTGATAAGTGTGAAGAATTACAACCAGTGTACTCAAAATTGGTCAAGAAAGGTAGACCGTTTCAGGGATCACGTAACCGACCTCAAAGGACAGAGGAATTGTTGCAGTCGGCAGCTGAGCAGGTAGTGGCTGGTGCTTCACTTCGTCATGTTGGAAATGCTTACAACATTCCCCGAACCACACTGCACTATTACATGGTGCGAAATGGTATAACATCTGAGCGGGCTTTGAAACGTCGGATATTGAGACTGGAGAGGGAGATGACTTCTCAAGTTGCGTCTCAGTTTAGGTTAGGTTTAAATATGGGCATTCCTATTGCAGGTAAAAACAGTTACAGCTCCGTCAGTGAAGAGAAGTAATTCCACAAGAACAGAACATGCTTCTGGATGTAATCAGGGCAAGGAAAATGAAGAATAGTATGATGATGGTTGTAACAGAAACTTTAATTTTACAAGCTAATATACATTCATTCGACAGGAATTCCTGTGTCCACATCTCACCCGCTTCTAGTGCCACAGTTAAGAATGCGTGGAGCTATACCTTATCTCTCCAATATTAATGTTTAGTAAGCATTTTGGTGTTTGTTTGTTTATTATATTGAAAACTTCTCAGTTTGTTTCAATGAAAGCACAAATGTATGGCGTTTTATATATAGAATTGCATGTAAATTGAGGGGCTGAGTAAAAAGAAAGTACAAATTATACTCCTTAAAATTGTAGGAAATGTATTTGAATCTAGAGTTTAGAACAAAAGTGCAGAATGCATCTGACTTAAGCAAAGTGATATTTATTGTTTGTAACAGTTTTTTTAGTACTTCTATGTTAACAGGTGACCCAAATATGACATGGATGGTACTTCCATTCTTTTGAATTCATTATGTTTTATTCCTTGCATAATTCTTATATTTTCTGTATGCACAAATATTGTGGATGATACTTTATGTGGATTATAGTGCCTTGCATGAGCAATGGCTGGTATACTTCAGAAAAGAATTAATGTGAACTATGGCTGACTGTTTTTGTAGTTTTGGTAATGGTGTTCTCTGTTTGCATCTTCCTATGTCAATCCAAATTTCACTTTCTAGCCACTGTAGTGACAAGGCTACAACCTGGTTAACCAGGGTTAAATTCTTGGCAGGAGCAAGAGATTCTTCTCTCTGCTGAAGCATCCAGACTGA